CGGGCCTGGGCCTGGGCAGAGACCGGCACCTCGCGGGGACCTGGTATCCCCACCCCAGGGCGCAGTCGGTGTAAGCAGCCCCCAAAGCAGAGGTTGCGGTGCCGTGTGATAAAGTAACAGGCAGCCATGCGTTCCGGGCATGTAGCCCTTTATTCTTAGTAGAGTTCACGTCTTTCTAAGTTTGTATAATTTACATTTTAATGAGGGCTGTGCTTAGCGATCAGCTTTGAAATTCCTGAAAATGTAGCCGTCGCTGCAGCCGGCTCAGCAACCAGGACGGAGGGATCGGGGAGCCTGGGAAGCCGGTGCAGGGAAGGGAGGGGCCTGGGGACTGTGGCTGGAGGGGTGAAGGGGGGGGCCAGGACTTAGTGCCCCTGGACTGTGTTCACCCAGCGGGCGAGGGTTGAGCCCACCCGGGAGCAGGCCTGAGGCTGCTGCCCGGCCAGGGCCTTGCTGGGTATGTGGTGCCCCAGCCTGTGCAGCTCCAGGGCTAAGGCCGAGGCCGGAGCGGCCTGGAGCGTCCACCTGAGCAGGAAAGAGCTCCTCAAGCTGAGGGCGCGGCTGGTGGGTGGGCGGGGCGCCGGCCGCTGGGTCCTTGCCCATCAGTCACATCTGCCAGGCGCCGGGAGAGGCCGTGCAATATGGACGAGCGAGCCTAGCGGTGCTTGGGATGAAGATGGTGTTAACCGGCCAGGGTTCCACTATCACAGGGCTGCGCTGCTGCCCGCACTCCCGCCGGCGGGAAGAGCGTGGGCGCCTTGCCTCCCAAGGGAGCCGCCGCCACAGGGAAGCCTGGTGGACAGAGACACCGGGTGCTGGGGAAGGGGGGGGCGGGGGCTGACACCAGGGCCCCTGGGGGCTGCCAGTGCACCAGGGAGCAGGCGCGAACCAGCTCCTTCGAACCCGCGTCTGACAGGTGTTCCCCACACCTGCGCTCCCTGATCGTGCGGGGAACCTGGGAGGCAGGTGCTCGTCCTGCTTTGTTGCACCCATTTCACAGGCGGGGCCATCAAGGCTCCTCGGGTGTCAGTGCCTCGGCCTGAGCAGCAGGACCTGTTCCAGGAATTCCTGCTCGTTCGTTTGTTCATTCATTCATTCAGGGAGCACTTCCTGGGCCTGGGCCCCAGGGCGCCCCAGACAGAGGAGATGCGGGCGCTTTCCCGCTAATGTTTATAAAGTTGATGTTTCATTTTCCGGGTTTTAAGTTTCCGTTTCCTGCCCTTTTCTGAAACGCTGGCAGGGCCTGCGGAGGCTGCGTGATTTCTCCAAGATGGCACCGGCGGGCGTCCTGGGGCGGGATGTCGCGGTGCTTCACATTCAGCTCTGGGGGGCAGCCCACCCCAATATCAGTGAGGCGCGGGGTGTCCTGGGGCGGGGGGCCAGGCATGGCGGGAA